GTGATGTTGTCTAATATATTATTGTATTAAAAGTTATCTTGTTGACATTTATTTGAACTCCTAAATGACTTAGAAACAAACAAACATGTCTTATGAGCTCTTTGCACTCTCAGTGTCACCATAACGCTAATGTCTCAAAATTCCTCCTCTATGAACCGCATCACAAAGAAGCTAAGGCTGCTCGCAGACTGGCTTCACCTTATCTACGCCAAAGTGATTCCGCGCGATATTTATGCGTTCTTTGTGATTTACGAGCAGCCTACGCGGCCGCGAACTTGTCGCAGTACGCGAGAAATTTCTATATGACTACTTTTTTCGTAGTAACCCTTGAAAACTTTCTAAAAATCCTGCAGAACCTATATATTGTTTATTATTTATATTGAACCTACGCTATTTCTGTTTATCTAGCTTTAAAACTGAAATAAACGTAGGCAAATACCAGGATGTTTGTTATTCACGATTGCTATACATTGGAAATGAAACTTTTTTCGGATTTTGAAATCGCATATATTTGTTTTTTCAAACAACCAACCGGCTTTCCACAGGTTCCATGGTCAAAGCTAACTGACAGTGACTATATTGATTTATTTGCGAAAATAAGAATAGAAAATTTAGATCCAAATAAGCAGTTTCATTTCGAATTATTATACATTTAAAGCGAGAATAAAGGGAAATCAATAGGTTATTGACATAGTTCGATAAATAATCAAATTACTTCTGTTGTTTTATTATCTTTCAGTCAATAAAGATAAGAATGCTAATAATTTCTACATTTGAACTAGGTACTTACCTAATAATCCCCTCGGAATATATATATAGATACGTAGTATGTAAGGTTAAAAATATGAACACGTAATTCCAACTAAACAAACTCTGCCACACCCTACATCGACGAAAAAATACATTTCCGTACAGGGCATAATATTTTAAACCATCCCCTGGCTACATACAAAATGGCTGTCGGCACTCGCTACTATTTTTCCTAAAAAGGATTGGTATAAAATATGAGTTGTAGCGTAATATCCAAATTCTACAACCAACACCTTAAAGTGCTCGATCCTTTTAATCGACAAAGAGACGTTGACTCTCTGTGTGTGTTTTGCCATCTGTATAACGGGAAGTGCTCGAACTTTTCGAATTGACACCACCATCACGTTTCCACCATTGTACATCCCGCCAAAGGAAATCTCCACATCCTTGATACTCGGCATTACCATAGTAATGCCATACTCGAACATGTAAGATGTTGAATGTGCTCCTTCCTGAAGTTTTCCTTTGCGCTATGACATGGGGTTTTACAAAAGCGAATAAATAGACTGGCTACGTAGTCTCTGGTGTTGTAAATGTCCATGGACAACGATAACCACCAACCTTGAAACTTTACGCAAAAAAAACTTGAAATATATAAACGCGATATAGTGAAATTTTCTATTATAAACCTAGCAAAGAATATAACAAAAATCTATTTGCATTTCAACTTGGTTTATAAAAAAATATATTTGGTGGAGGTTAAACAGGTAGCAATAGAATACCATTGTAACAAATATGACACTCTCACTTTACCCGCATTTATTATTAACTACTTGCATTATTACTAATTCTGAGAACAAGATTTCTATCGCCTGCATCACGTTCCTTGAGTCGCTGAACTTCGACATGTTGACTTCCACGCTTCGGCCTTTGAATTAATACCAAGACGTCCGTGATAAATTCCCCAGGAGTTCCTTACACTTGGCGGGGCAGACAAAATAATTTATGTGCCTAGTTTAGTGAGCACTTTCGCGGATAGATGGCCGTAGGTGAACGACATCTTTGTTATAGCCACAGTACACCTCAGATTGATAGCCTCTATGGGAATATCGGGGTAAAATAATGGTTCATAGTCATCTGAAGTGTAAACAGTAAGTATAGCAAAAAAGATTTTTCCACAAAGTATTTTGGACTTTATTTGCATGTACTCATAACTAGGAAAAACAAAAGTTTAGTAAGACGTGGTTAGTATTTGGATTCAAAAGCAAAGATTTCTATCTACTTACTTCGTAGTAACAGAGTCTCTCTCAGTTCACTGATGGATAGTGCGCTTTAAATTGCGCTGCAAGATTCGGTCACGTATTTATGTTTAAATAAAATTTATTTCATTGAATATCATGATGTTTTTACTACAAAAAATTAATATATATTTTTTGTGAAATAACTCCACTAGCTTGTTATTATTATTGATACAAAGATTCCTTCAATCTGACTGTACTTGAACCAGTGTCTGTTGCCAAACAGGGCTACCACTACTACCAACAGAACTACAGATTGAGTCAGCAGATCTTACGAATTTCTCTAAGTGCTTATTGCAGATATTTGCATTGAGTTTAAAAGATGTTTTACTGTCAGCACCGCTTGTGAGAAATTCATGAAAGTTAATTTTATTGTTTTTGCTGATGCGAGAGCCGACTTGAAAGAAGAAGAAAACTCTCTATATAGAACTCGCATGGCTAAATACTACAGCTCTACCTACTGTTGTGTACAAGACTGCATTATTCCGGATTCAAGGGTGAGCAGAATCAGCGCAATTACAGCCATAAGAACTTAAGACCTTATGCCATCTTGCAACATATTCGCTATATTACTTTATATTCCTTTTTATTGGATATGTCTATAGGCGGCAGTATCCACTTTCAATTAGATTGAATTTAGAATGTTATCAGATTTTTTTTGGGAAGTCTTTTGTCTTCTTGTTCAGTAGTGTTTTTGGTTTTACTTATTGGTGTAAACAAAATAAGATAAGATTCCTGGGCAAAGTTGGGCTAAAGGTAGAGGTGAAACCTCATTAGTCGAGTCCACCAGAGTCGTCCTGAGATCATAATCACGGACACGATGCGAGCAAATTCTTTTAAATTAAATGGTATGGTGAGTTTTAAAGCGAAATAAAAATTTGCTTACTTTGGTTAATTTGTTTAGTCTTTGAAGATTATAATAATGTTACTCGATTAGTTACTCGTCATCTCTTCAATACAAAAAACACAAACATATGTATGTCCACACACAAACTCAAGCACATGCGTAAAGAAACACGCTATATCTCCTAATATAAACCCTAGTGTAGGTACAAAACAATACGTCACACAAGTTACAAACTGCAGTATTTCATATAGGTCAAGAAATACAAGGCAAAGTTAAATTATTAATAAATTAGTATATGCCACCCCCACTAAGTAATGTAACTGTGTTGGATATGAAAGCTGGTGAGTATCGTAAACGTGCCAAAGTACTGATTTTATTATAATAGTTTATGTGTTTTGTGAGAATGTGTAGTACCAGTAGAGCTCCTTGTGAAAGAGTTCATCTGCTTCGAAGTCTCCGCGGTCTGGAGACCTCTCCCTCTCCCTCTCCCTCCGGGGTGAATTTAGAAAGTGACGACGTGAAGTGGTGACGAAGTACTGGAGTACTTCGTCACCACCCTGGAGGGAGAGCCGCTTTCCGCGCCGAGCACTAAGCCAGCTAGATCGGGAGATGGTCACAGAAGCTGCCATAGTGCAGCGTTGACTGTCCCGTGGAGCGGCAGAGGATACCACTGTCGACGATCTGACTAGTGGATTGCGCACCGCCCTAACAGCAGTTTGCGACGCGGCAATTACCGGGTCCAACGACGACATCCCCACCGGCAGGTCTACTGGTGGACGGCAGAGATTGCTGAACTCCGGGCGGTCTGTAATACTGCCCGACGAGCTTACGTCGGATGCCGACGTCGCTTCGGTTACGCCCCGGACGTAGAGAGCCAGCTGTGGGAGATCTACAGGCTGAAGAAGAAGTCCTTGCAGTTGGCAATAAATCAGGCCAAAACCCGTGCTAGGGAAGAAATCTTGGCCGGGTTAGAACGAGATCTGTGGGGTCGCCCATATCATGCGGCGTGGAGAAAACTTTGTGCCCAAAGCGCCCCCGTCACGGAAACCGTGGCTCCTGATCTCCTCGAAAGGGTAGTAAGAGAATTGTTCCCAGACCATCCAGGTCATCTATCCCCGGTGATGGCGCCACCATCCTCACCGGAAGAATCTCTCCCGCCGGTCCCCCCTGTAACTGAAGGAAAAATGGAGGTGGCTCTGTTCCGGCTACGGGGCAAAAAAACTGCACCGGGGCCGGACGGCATCCCGGGTCGGGTATTGCACCTGACTGCGGAATGCCTGGATGAAAGGTTCGGGGACTGTTCGACACGCGCCTACGCAGTGGACAGTTTCCGAAACAGTGGAAGCAGAGCCAGTTGTGCCTGCTGCAGAAGGGAGGCTGTCCAACCGACTCGCCCTCTACATACAGACCCATTGTTCTGGACGAGGCGGCTAAGCTCTTCGAGAGAGTTCTCGTAAACAGTCTCGTCCGGCACCTAGAGGAAGTGGGACCGGATCTGTCGGAGGCTCACTACGGCTTCAGGGCGGGGAGTATATACAATCGACGACCTGCATGCCCTGAAGAGCCTTATGACAGCAGCGGTGGAGAGCGGGGAGGTGGTATTGGCTTTCTCCTTGGATGTCAGAAATGCGTTCAACAGTATCCCCTTCGAGACACTGACAGAGACGCTCCGGTACCATAGAGTGCCTGTTTATCTCAGGAAGCTGTTGGAGGCGCATCTTCAGGACAGGGTGGTTATCTGGGAAGGAAAAGACAGGCGGCTTCACCAGCGACGTGTCGGGTGCGGCGTTCCACAAGGGTCCGTGCTGGGCCCTATGTTGTGGAACGTTGGTTTTGACTGGCTCCTACGCGGCCTCCTCTTTCCCGGGACGAGGCTGATCTGCTATGCAGATGACACCCTCGTCACTGGCCGGGGTAGGACATATGAAGACGCCGCGCGGTAGAGCACCGTCGTGGCGTTGTTGGTGGTGGAGAGGATCCACCTGCTAGGCCTGAGGGTCTCCATACACAAAACGAAGGCCCTCCTATTTCACGGCCCGCGCAGAGGTCCCCCTTGAGGGGTCAAGATCACCCTGTTCGGGGAGACGGTCCCAGTCAAGGTTCAAATGAAATACCTGGGCCTTGTACTGGATGAGAGGTGGACGTTCAAGACGCATTTCTCCCAACTTGCCCCAAAGCTGATGAGTACCGCAACTGCCCTCAGACGGCTCCTGCCAAATGTCGGCGGACCGGGCTCAATCCGTAGGCGCCTGTCCTCCGGAATAATCCGGAGTATGGCCCTCTACGGCTCACCCATCTGTGTAGAAGCTCTCACCGCTCAACTCAAGCCTTTCCTGCGAAGGCCGCAGATGGTTATACCGGTGAGAGCGATCCGGGGGTACCGCACGGTATCGTGGACGGTCGCCACACTTCTCGCGGGTGCTCCCCGTGGATTAACCGTGGTGAACTTCAGGCGGAAGTGCTCGCGGAAGTACACCGTACTGTATAACCATGCGAAGCAGAGGGGAAAGCCCTGATGCTGAAGAAACAAGGCGGATCAGGGCAGCGGGCCGCGCCGCGTTATTCCGAAGATGGACGGAGGACTTGGAATCCCCAATCGCTGGCTCAGTGACCGTGGAGGCCCCACCTAGTCAGCTGGATTAACCGGCGACACGGGACACTGTCCTTTAGATTGGTGCAGGTGCTCACCGGACATGGATGCTTTGGTGAAAATGGTGCTTGATGGTGAAATTACCGGTGCAGTGGCAGTATTCTTCAGGTCTTTGCAATTTAAGGCTTTGAGGGGCACTACAACTGTTATGGACAGGCGTGTAGCTTACCATCAGGCGCACGACTTTTGACAGTTTCGTAACTGCATCACTGCTTCTACTTGTGGGACAGTCGTAGTTGTATCGCCGTGGAGCATATTAATTTTGTAATGCTGCCTGTACATACAAATTGTAATCATAATAAACTGCATATTCATACCTGACTTGTGTTGTGGTCTGTGCCCACCTCTTTATATCACTACAGTATGTTTTTATGAAGTTTGTTTAAGTATATATTTAGTTCAATTTACACAACGTTTAGCAGCTTTGTGCGCCATTAACTGCCCTTCACCTGTAACTCGTAATAATTTGTAATGTTGCCTGAAACAGATCGCTGTATTGCTCACTACCTTTCATCGTGTCTTTGTATTGTCACTATTTTATTTTGTGTGCAATAAAGTATATTTTATTTTATAAGTAATGTAGAAACATTTTTTTACAGAAGTAAAAACGAACATTTAATGTACAAATGGAATATGAGCAATTAATTTCAAGCAACTTAGGAAGGACGTAAAAATTGAGTTGAAGTGTGAAAAAAATTATATTATTATGACAAAATTTCATTTAGACTACTCACACTCGTTGTAAAGTCCTAAATTCAAAATTGCATTTTTTAACCCCCTTCACCTTCCACCCCCTAATTTATCAACCGTTTGAAATACGTTCGCCGTCCGCGGATAAATTATAGAGGCAATTAATAGAGGCGTCGACGAGCTGTCTCGACCAGGGGTGAAATACGAGGTTTGTATTTTTCTTCCTGATTTATATTTTAAAACATTATTTACTACGCACTTGAGTAATGTAGATTTTTGATAGATATAAATAATGTATAGCGTCCTTTTGTATTAGCCTGAAACTTCGTTATATGGCATTGTTGCTGAAGTACAAAAGAATTTAAAAATTGTCACGAATTAGGTTTACCTACTCTTTGCTATAGAAAGTTGCATCAATTATAGTTCTTTATTTTTTCTATGATACAAATGACGGATAAGTTGGCAAGTCCCAAGTGCTTGTAAATTCACCAGCACTATTACTCTTCAAAACCGGAACGGAATATTGCTCACACTACTGCTTGGCGGCAGAAATATGTAAGGTAAGGGTTAGTATTGAATATTCATCAAATATTAAGATGTTTTACTATCATGACATGACTATTTTTTTGTGAAATTACACCACTAGTTTATCAACACAAAGAAACATGCACAGACAGGATTCGAACCAGCGTTTGTGCCATATCAAGGCTGTCGCTCTACCAATTGAACTACAGATCGAGTCCTTGCATCAATTATTAAATTGATATTTAGTGTAGTTATCCAAAGGACGTAGAACAAAAGGTTTTTTTTTATAATAACAAGTGACGGAACCAGTCCATAACAATTGCATTGCCACTCAGAGCTTTAAATCGCAAAGATCTGACAAGTACTGCCACTGCATCCGTCACCCTGAGACATAAGTTGACAAGTCCCATGTGCCTGTAATTGTTATTAATGTAATTGTTATTAGATTTAATAACGAAGTTTAGAAACCAAGATTAGAAGTTTCGGTGAACTTAAAAATAATCTTGTCTAATATATTCCGGATTTCATTTGTGAAATATTAATTGAATCAGAGCGAACAGTACAGTTTTCTAATCAAGTAATAAAATATTTGTACCTAATGAAGAGATGGCTAAAGTTTCTAATCGGCCTGCTTACATTTTAAACACCCAACGCCAAAGCAAGCTATCAAAATTGTTAGTTTTATAAACTTCAAACTTGAACCATTTATCTAAATCGTCAACTGCGATATTGAATTAACAAACAGCTGCATTTATAATATCTATTAAATAAATAACTGTATTTAATAGTCACAAAAAGCAAGTAGAGAAATTTTTAGTAGCAGCAGAGCTACTTATAATAGATTTCGTCTAGAGACATACTGGCACATTATTTGAAGAAAATATTTTGTCTCTAATAGGTGGTAAGCTAGGGTTTGAATCCGGTTTGGCGCACTTTCCGGTTATCAATTTCAATAAAACGTGGCAAATTGATGTAATTCCACGAACTTTTGAGGTCGGTTTTTTAGTATTCTGTATTGAGATTATGTAACATAAAGAAAATTGAATAAATCAATTTTAACAGTTACATATCTCTAGCTATGGCGCACTGTCATTAAAATTATTATAAACAAATGTTAAGTGTCTATTTTTCGTAATACACTTCTAAAACGAAAATTTTCAACATTGACCGTTTTTGTTAAGCACACGACTGTCAATTATCGGTTTCTGTTTAACAATGAAGACAAATTAAAGTCTCACAACGCTTTTTGTGATGCAAATTACGCCATACTCATACAACAGCCATACAAACTCATACACAAGTTGTATAACCCTTATGAGACACGAATTAGTATGGTTTTGTTTTGAACGACTGCGGTTTCAATATAAATTGAAAATCATAAAGGCAGTATTGTCGGAAATGTTCTGTAATACAGAATTCATTTGTAAAATTGTTGGGCATTGCTATATTTTCATATATATATAGCAATTTGACACTTGAGAAAATAGTACATCCAATATTAATTTAATGTATGCTTTTGTATCTAAAAACTGTATACATGTTGCATCCTGTATGAATTTACCTATTTTGATATAAATAGTGTTTTATTTATTTATAACAATTGTAAAATATGTTTTGTTTTATTTATCACAACCGTAAAATATGTTTTTAATTGAACAATCACAATTAAGTTACTCAAGCGCCTACTAAATCTCGATTAAAGTCATGACTTCAAATGTTTGTTAGGTATTACGCTATCCGCTAAAAAGTCAATGATATCAAGAAGGAAACTCCATTAAAAATGATATACAACTGTTTGAATTATTAACTACAGTTCGTATTAAACTCCTCATATCTTGTAATCGGCTGTAATTCAAATTTCTGCCGGCAAAGGGTCGGTCCGGTCGAGGATTCATTTAGCCAAACCAAAGGGGACCTTTGATTCATTAGCCACCATCAAATATTCACGAACATGCCACAGCCACCACATGGCATAATGTTACTACTTAAAGGACGAAGCACAATAGTCAAAGCGTGCATTTGTAAATACGGTTTAACTCTGAAACGGAAACAGCCGATTTCACTAGATCTCCTTAAAACTAGAGGATAATGGCCAAACGTTACATTCATTCAGGGCTTTGCATAATCTCTATAGTTTCTTTGCACTTTTTTCTTTCTAGATAGCCAGAAAAGGTAACAATAGATTTTTTTTAAATCATTCTCTTTTACATTTGCTCCTTTTATTGTTAACTCTATGACACCAATTCTCGAATGGTGCAATTACTAACGTGGTGCCTCGACACGGCACCAGTTACGAGAGCCGTAGATTTATTGTTATTACCGCGCATTTCCTTCGGGTAACGTTTTAATTACACAGATCGGCGATAAACCATCCTGGGGGCACACTTTTCTTCATTAGAAGACGGATAGCCAGCGTCTGCGCTGCTTCGAAATTTATTGAAGACCTCTTAATGGTCTTCCGATAGTTTACCTATTGTTTGTGGTAAGATAATATGTTTCTTAAAATCTTTCTCCAAAAGATTGTTAGAATATTGTACGTACCAGTGATTTGTTGTCAAATCTTCCAAGATATGAGAAAACTTTTAACATTTAGCAGATAATGAGCATTAAAACAACGAATCCAGAAAAAGTGTACTTTGTTTTAATTTATTAGGGAAATCAAAATAACAAGTGTTTAATTATGGAACCTAATGAAAAAAAGGGGTTACTGATAATTTGAAACATAAGCAAAAATCAGAAAAACCAAATAAAAATATCAGTAGCAATACAAGGAAAACGAATATAACGTTTCCAAGGCTCCACATGAAAAACCGAAACAGATTATATTCTAAAAAAAATATCCAGCAGCGAGAACCATATTTCACAAAACCAATAACGCAAGCGAGAACGTCATTCGGACGTCGTTCATCAAACCTCTCATATTGTAAGGGATAGAGGGTATAAATCGCCACACCTCATAAGAAGGACCCCGTGGAGACCGGACCTGACACTACATGGGAAATCGCCATTTGGAAAACATTTCGAGTTTCCTTTTGTCCGATACAATATAAAGCTTGGATTTCATCTTGTATGTCATTTTCTTTTAAGTTATTAAAATTTACCCATAATGCCTCTGTCTCAGATGTAAAAAAAAAAAATTAACACATATAGTAATTATGTTGGTAATACCGCAACTTTTACAAAAAAATAATGTATTTTAAACTGATTACGTTGAAAGTAATTTCAGATAATAATAGATAAGATAGACATACTTGGGAAATTTAAATAACATGAAAATGTTAGTTTTTAAATAATCCATAATTTATAAACATACGATATAATTCAATGAAACTTGTGTTATTTTAAACAGTGCACATGCAGCACTATACATAAGTTTTCGCGAATCTACACTGGATACGACCTTTGATCGCTATCAGAGGGTGAACTGTGAGAGCGATCGACACTTTCCACATTCACTTATTATTTCACAATAACATCCTTCCACAGTCAATCTAAATTCAACCTTCTAAGCGTCATCTAATCATTCAAACCTGCCAATTCTAATTGTGTTAGTGTTTGAATACATATTATTAGCAACTACCCGAATTAGTTTCAAATTTCAAATCACTATGCCCATTTAGCACGTCAAAGGTTCTAAAATTAATTTAAATC